AAATGGGCCGCCGTTTGAAACATGGGAATTAGGCCACGTGTTAGTGGTCTGCACGAAAATCCTGTCAGTGATCAATACCATAGGTTTGATCATGCGCGCAGTAGTGCGCGTCAGCCAAGCTGGTGGTGTATATAGGGTGATGAAGGATTAGAGCAAGTGCGTGGGAGTTTTCCTCTGTTCTCTAAATATTTTCGAAGAATTTCATCGATAGGAAAACAATCGTAATTCAAGGGTCTGCCATACTGCCCGATAAAACTGTCCCGGTGCGACACTCCTCCGTATTTGGTCTTCCACACCTGTTGAGGTTATTCAATTGCCTCGCCGAGAAATTTTCTCACCTACCTCAAGATTCGGATGCTATATTGGTAGGCTATTATTTTGTTTGATGCTTTGTCACCTTACGAGAAGACAGAGTAATCTTTCATATTCCTCATTTCATGATTTCATACAGGCACTGAAGATCATGACATCCGAATTTGTGGCTTTCCTCGATGATAATCGGGAGAAATACTTCAGTGTTAGACGAGATTATGAGCCTCAAGAATGAGAAAAGGTTTGTTGCTCTTGTGCTGCCCCGGTACTGCATTTTATGGACGTATAGTGTTGTTCTACAGTGTTGTTCGATGATAAGGCGTATCAGAGTAGGCTAATTTGGCGCGTCGCTAGCCCGTTAGCATAGGCTATATAGGCCAGCAAGCGACAGCAACTGGTGAAAACAGCTCACGAATGATATGATTCAGTCTTCTCGCTTACCGAAAGAAAAGAAACGAGCTGTCCGCGCCAACCCATCCAGTGACACGCCCGATCATCTGCAGTAAACAAGATTGTAAATGGGCACTGTTCCAATATAGTGGGCTCTCTAGTGCGAAGCTTTATTAAACGATAATGAGCGAAAGTGGATAAGGATTCCTCCCTAAGCCTCGGAAGAAAGGAGCACAGGGTGGGGGACCGAATTCTTTGCGCATCGTTATTGTGGTTATCAGTGTCTTGCTCTGCATTGAGAAGAAGCGTCTTAATAAGGTTGTGTTCACACTTTGCAGCAGGTCCAACGCGACCACTAGCGTTCCGAGCGTCAGGCAGTCGCAATTGCGAGCGTCAGGCAGCGTCAGCGACTAGGAAAGTATAGATATCGATCTAGCGATCAGCAGCGTCTAGGAGTGGAAAGTATGAAGCGATGGGAGGGTACCAGACAGCGTACCCTCCTATCGCTCCAAACTTTATACCAGCAGTCTGCTACCGTTCTATCTCCCCATACTCTACCAGCTGTCTGCTGCTGTGCTATCGCCCCTATGCTGCACGGACACGATTAGCAGCCCAAATGCTTACGGTCGGGAGCACGGCGCGAGGAGCAGGGAATAGTTCCATTACTGCACGCTGTTGATCGCTAGATCGATACACACTTCCTAGCCACGAGACGCTGATCACTGATGGACACTCACGGTCACTGGTGGACAGTGGTAGCCACTGCTGGTCGCTAGATCGATATCTATGTATTCTTCCCTAGTGGTTTTCGCAGCCGGATGCTCGAAACGGTAGTGTCGTTGGTGGACGCTGCAGCAAAGCTATAGAAAGCAGCCTAACCCCCGACCCCCATAATTGCTGTAAATCTGCGACAGTGTTTCATGTCATTTGATCTTCCATCGAATTGTTCCGGTGTTGGATTAATGAGGCGTAACTTATCGGAGAGGCATGCGCTGAGGCGACAAAGGCTGCTTATATGCACCTCTTATAATGATATCGTCATTCTCGAGAGTTCAAGCTCAAGCATATCGAAGGCGGCAAGTCTAGTTTCGAATGAAGAGCATTTCTTCCCAGTCGCGGCATCGTAATATGAGTTGCTATGGCGGAGATACGAGTCGATGCGCAGCGTGCGTTGCCATGCTGGGGTGGCTGGGTTCTAGAGTACGGATGCCTGGGCAGGGCAGCGTTCAGGACTTCGTTCGTGCGCGCGCGAGGGCGCACTACGGAAGGCTCCAGTCTTATTGAGCGAACGCAACCGCTGACGGGAATCGATCGGCGCCGACTGCTTATGTTCTGGGAGAGTATGGGGTACCAGATCGTGTGGGCGCCTACCTTGCCCAGGTTCAGCATCGTAGTCTGTGAAACGGTGGAGTCCCTGGGACCCCCCCCCCCCCTTCCCCAACGCTTTCCTACCCCTTTCGTACAAGTTCCAAGCTTCTTACCAGTATCTCCGGAAAATTCGCCGCCAAATGTGAATCCCCTCCCCAGCGGCCAACAAGTACCATTCCTCCATGTGTCACACATAGCGATGGTGTACCCTGACCCTGCTGTTATCCTACACTCTCTCAAATCACAAGCGACCGGCGCCCATCGATTGTCGTCTGCGGCTGCGTTCGTGTCTACAGCATTGAAGCACCCTTGCAGAGGCAGCGCGTTGCCGCGCGTTACAGCGCGTCATCGGAAACTGTCGCTGTTTGTGTCACCACGTTTGCAACGCCTACTCGCCGTGGCTGGGAAGTAGATCTCTACACACTTTAGTCTCATCGCATTCCCCCTCCCCGCCTCAAAACTTCTTAGCGTCATTGATTGTGTTGATTGTTGACATTTATTGTTATCCATTATGGTCTCCGACATGTAAGACTAGTTGTTCCACCAGAGCGCAATAGTCGCTGTTTACATAATATAATCTCAGTTTGATTAGCTAGCATACCTCGCGGACTGTTGTGTGCGCTCAAATTCTGGAAAATGTGTGGCCACTGATTTTTTCAGATAAATGTTTTTAAATTGGTCTTGGTTCATTCTTCACGCTCAGAATACATTTTCCTGGATAATAAATAATTTATTAGTCTCAGTAGGGCTATATTTCCATGTGAATCCGTTCGTCATTTCATACCCATATCACTGGTTTTTTTGGTTCATGTCAGTGGTTGAATCCATAAGTATTTCTGAGTGTAGCTTCCGCATGATAGTGGAATGATCTGAAAAATCGCAGTGTATAGCCTCATATTCGGTCGACTTTAGGGTGTTCAGAAAATATTTTGAAAATGCACATTTTTGCACACTTTCGGGGTATTTCCCTACCTTGCGTTGGAGGTTGCTGTCAATGAAAAACCTTGGCGTTGATCAGGGTATGGTCATGCGGCAAGGTTCTAACTTCCATTCGAGGTTGTGGGCGTGGAAAAAGATTTCTGTTGCTGGACGCACAGCCATTACTCTTGTTCGCAACGGATGCTGGGGCGTGTCAAGAGGGCTGAGTCTGGCGTCGCGCCAGTCCTCTTTGCACCAATAATTGAAGCGGGCAAGCGACAATAATTGGTTGGAAACGGACTGGTGGCGCGCCGAAGCCACTCACCTTGACACGCCCCAGTATCTGCAGCGAACAAGACGTCAGGTAGAAGTCTAGTCGTGCTGACCACCATCTTTGTTGTTAATCAGTTAGGTCCATGCGCGCATTCCGCGCACGGCGTGATGTTATCAACGCCGTAGCGTGAATTTGCCATCAGGTCCATCGTCCGTTT